AAAATTCTGAAAACCAGTTTTTTATAGGTTTCTCGATGTGCTCTACAATCGAGACAGATCAGAAAAAAATTTTGAAACAAAAAGTTTCTGGCTCTGGAAACCTGGTTTCCCAGAAATCCGGTACTCACAAGGCCTAACGGCCCGTCTCATGCTGATATTCGGATTCAGCACTATTTTTTACCTATACTCCACTAGATTTCATTAAAAAAACGATTGGTCAGTTACATATGTTCCCTCGTGAGACGAATTTTTTTTTGAGAGTCTTAGGACTGCCTTTTTTTATATTTGCTTACCACATAGATACATGGTAACGAAAGTTTTCAAACCATGTTGAATCTCAGAGCAACTTTCTTTTGCCCTAGGAAAACATTTTTCTCCCACTTTTGTAAACGTACACTTTCACCTTAATCATATAACTAATGAGAAAAGAATTCCTTTCTTTAATGTTAATGATCTCCTGCTCTGCATGCTGTACTTGAAAAATATCGGCTATATTGGTGAAGAATTTAAAAATAGAAATGAAAGGGTAAGAATGACAAAAAAAAGACAGACGATCTACACGTATGTTATTATTGTCAATAACGAGCTGTAATTGCTCCACTTATACATATATCACCACATAAACAACGGTATTCTGGTCGTAAAGCTATCCTGTTATCTTTAAAGCCATATTTAATTAGAACAAGATTTAATACCTTTTAGTTTCACTTATTATTGGCTGGAAACCAATACCAAATGTTAACTCACTCTCATACTGCCAACACCCCACCTCCCACGACACACTGCCAAAAATACCCAAATGTGCACTATGAAAAGTTCGTGGAAGAGTCGAAGTCCTGATCGCGGTAATGTGTAGTATTCTAGAAGTATACAAAGTAACAAACACAAAAGGAAAGCACTTTTGATCCTATACAAACTGGTCTATTCATAGTCCCTTTACTGACTTGAACGTCGAGGTTTATAACGACGTTTGTAATAGGAAAAAAGCAAAAATACACAACAAAAACACAGTTCAACTGAAAATATCTACTTTCAGCTAAAAATAGAAGGTACATTATTTATATAAAATTAATTTTTAGTTTGCTCAGTGTATCGTAAACTTTTACAGACAAAGTCGAATTTTCTCCCGTACTTGAGATAGTGTTTTCAGAAAACTGCATCAATGCTGTATGCCAATACGAATAAAAACGGTATCCACCTAAAGTGTCTGCGTTTCCATTTAAGTCCGATATGCGATATTTCTCATTATAAGAAACGTGCTTCAGAATCTGCTTCACCGAAACTGTGAGTGGTTAACTGTTTTTCGGAAAAAATGATCCAAAAAACGGTTCAGTTGTTTCCATTATTTTATTGAAAATGTGCTCTATTTTTGTATTATTTTAGATAATATAAATTCCTGTTGCATACTATATCATCGTCTTGTTCGCTGTAATCTAAAATCGTTAAGCAAGTATGTTTAACGATTTAATAGAAGTTAATTTAAAATTTGGAATAACATATGGGTCAACACAAATTAAGAGATCGGATACCAATGCCTGGAATGATTTACAAGATGGAGCTTTAGAAATTGTCCAATCAGTATTACCGAATTTCGAGCCAACAGATTATCGTAATCGTTTAAAATTATTTTTAATTTCTCACCATGATGTAATCCCAAATCTGACATTAATTACAAGTCATACAGATTTAACACCAGCATGCTTCATTGAAGTTATTATTTGGACACTGGTAGATTCGGTTGTTTTATCTCATGAACATCAGTTAGAAGATCATACTTATAAGGAGCCAACTTATTGTCGAGCATGCGAGTATTTAATGTGGGGACCAGGTAAACAGTGTAAAATATGCAAGACAGACTATCATCATGAATGCGCTGCTCATTTACCACCGAATTGTTCAGATCGTGAAACAAGACCACGTCAGGCGTCAGCTGGCACACTAACATCAACAAATACATATTCGACTGTTAATGTGCCTTCTGAGGATGATTTAAAGAATGTTTCAAAACGACAGAAAAAACGCTTAGTTCAACGAAAATTGTTTAACTTCTCCAAATCTAAAGAGCCATTGAGTAATGGCACACATACATTGATCGCTGATATAACGAATGATGTTCAGCATTCGGAACCACCAGCGCATGATCAAACAAACTCTGATCATCTACTGTATAATAAAACATTAACATCAGGAGTAGATCCTGTATCAATACAAACGAGAGGTGAAGAATTCTTGGTTAAAGAATATAAAACACGAGAAGATGTTAAATTAACAAATGTGCAAGAGAAAAATGGTATATGGAGAGCAGATGCGCAGGTCGGACGAGAATTTCGACATAGTAGACAAGTAGATGTAATTTATGATAAAAAAAAATTCCAGTTTGTAACGAAAAACCAAGATGGAAGCAAAGAAATTGTTGAGTTATCAGCAGATAAAGTCAAAGGTGAGAATATTAACTGACACTACTTTTACAGTCAAAATGTACTTTACTTTACCAACGCTAAGTATCTGAAAGAAAAATGATGAAAAACTTCCACTTGCGTAAAATACTATGGGTTTCGTGAAAGCGCTGTGTAAAGCCCAGAAGAAGACATGCACCAATAGATATCCTACGTAAGTTAGATGTAGTAAGGATAAAAGAATATATGGGCAAACTATGATCGTGATTGAGACTGTGCGCTACAGTATGCAGAACAGTCACTTCTAGACTTCCAGGAAAATTTAGTAGCAACGACAACAATTTTCTCTTCTATGCTTTAATCATACTAGAAGCTTTTCTGATGAGTACAGATGTAGAGACTCATGCAAAAGAGACAGGGGAAACTTAGACGTATGTTAGCTAATCAGAAAAACTATATTACAAACACTCACTTTTGGGACAAGTGTCCGCCAGAACGTCAGCTATGAAACTCTTGCCTTCAACAGATGTGCAAAAGCAATACATTTATTGCGAAGACATGTCTCAGAACCCCAAGATGATTTTTCGTGAGAAGACGTGCTCCGATCTTGGCTTTCGACTCAACAAGATCTTGGGTTTCCACTATTTTATTCAAAAGTTATTCATAAAATGGTAAAAGTCACTAAATTTGTTAAATAGTCAGAGATTAGTCATGGTTGATGAACTTGATCTTAGTGTAACGCGATTGAGGTATCGATTTCCTTTTAATTTTTGATTCTTTTTTTGTCAATTTTTTGCTAATAAATCGTCTGTCTATAAAATTCTTGATATCGAATTGACTCCATCTGGTTTCTTTTTCTAAGCTCGTCGTTCAGGTGGAAAAATTCATGAAAAAACAAAATCAGATAGTATCGCAACATTATCATATCAAAAAGAAGCCTATGAAAAATTGGCTAATTTATTACTCGATATAATAGATACTGCTGCTCAGTCCGTGGAAAAGGATACAAAAATACGTTCATCATTCAAAGTGGTTCCTTCATCGGATAACAATAAAGATTTTTTCGATTTATATGATATGAATGAAAAGGAAATATTAGGTATCGGACGTTACGGTATGGTTTTCGGAGGAACAATGAAGAAGAATGGTGTTCCAGTGGCCATTAAAAGAATTCAGATATCGCATTATAATAAAAAAGATCGTGAAAACATTCAACAAGAAGCAAAATATCTGTTTGAATTACGTCATCCTAGTAAGATATGCTTATTACTATCCATGTAAGCTAAAAACGGGTAAACGGACTACTATCGACGCCAACATACAATGTACCTGGTTATTTTTTGAATAACGTTTGTTAGGAAAGAGATAGAGAGCTGCAGTTTTCACCATTGTGTGGCCAAGGCTTTAAGATAGGCTTTTTGTAAGCAAAGATGTTTCTTGAAAAACTTCAAAGACCAGTTTTTCAGCGGACATTTGGAAAAACAGCTCGGGTTTCCAGAAACTAAACTAGCAATCTATCGATATTTTTTCATAGGTGGATAGTCCAAAATGTCTTCTACAAAATGGGATCTAACCGACCTCTTACTTTTCCTTGGTTTTCGAGGGATTTTCCCGAACCATAAGGATTGGTGTTTCTCTCGGTTTGGTAATCGCAAAATTACATGACACATAGACAATCGATGCTCCTAATCACCATCGCAATGTTTGTTTTCTTATAAAAAGTAAAACAACTTTGGATAGTGAGGTTTTGTAAAAAATAAGGCTTTTGGCTTGGGCCGATAAATTACAAGCTTTGCAAAACCAGTAATTTCCATTGAAATCATATGTAATTTCCAGAAATAGCTAAATCTTGTCTGTTTTATCTAACTCAGCGCTTGTCAGGGTTAGTTTGACAAGCCTTAAGGGGAGAATGATCTCTAGAAATCCCTTGGAAAATCTGTACACGAATAGCTGCAAATTTGGGGATTTAAAACCTGGCAATCTTGAATGCAAAAGCGAATGATATGCGAAAAAAAGTGAAATTTCATGTGATTTGAATGAAAATTGCTGGTTTTACGAAGATTGTAATTTATCGTGAGCCACGCCAAAAACTTACTTTTACAAAACCTCACCA